GACCTCACTGTTGAAACTTGTAAAGGAAATCAGTACGTAAGCCAAGAGCACACAAGTTCCCACACTTGTGGCAGGCACACTATTACCTTTGCATGTGTAGTACACTGCCTGTGCTATACTCATCTGTTTAGGGAACCAGCAGCAGAGGCCACATTGATCTTTCAGTCAGATGTCCACCAGCAAAGCTCTTTTGCAAAAATAGGCTCCAAAGACTCCTAAAGTTAAAAGGTAAATTCGACCGATTGACCGGTCCTGAAGTCGCATCTCCTGTGTGTCCTGTTTCTCTTCTTTTTGTTTGTTTTGGAGTCAGGTCTTGCTTGTGTAGCACAGACTGGCCTGGACCTGACTGTGCCCTAAACTCTGATTTTCCTGCCTCCGCTTCCTGAGTGCTCCACACACCCAGCAAAGACTCAGGAGCCCTTCCTAGCTGTGAACACAGGGACAGACAAGCTTAGATAGAATTCATGAGTCACCCTGATGGCACCTTAGACCAAGCTGAAAATGACTCAAACTGATCTAATTCTTCATCCGTTTTCAATGAGGAGCCAACAGAATTTGCTAGTGAATTGTGTGTGGCCTGTGAGTGGAGGTGTCAGTGACGGTGGCAGCACAGCTTACCGCTCAGACAAAATGGGGAGCTGGGTTGTTCTTAGTGTCCCATAATGGTGTCCAGTGAAGAGGGCACAGGCATCTCTTGGTAGGTCTACACTTACGAGTTGTTTCCTGGCTCCAGTACAAACACATGCCATCAGTCTGCAGACCTTGCTGAACTCACTTAGAATTGTGATCATTCTTTGGCGATTTCTATATATAGCCACGGCACCTGCTGATACTTTGAATTTCATTTATAGTATTTGCAAGTTTTTGCTTTTGTTCCACAGTCTAGGCCTTCACATGAGGTGATATAGAGGTAATGATAGGGTTTTTGCTGTTTGTTTTTATCATTTCTGTTGGCAGGAGTATGTTCATAGCGTTTCATCATTAAATATGTTTGCTATCAGTTCTTTTGGAAGTATTCTTTACATTCACATTAAGCAGGTTATTTGTGGATCTTCATTCGCTCAGGGTTTTTAATGACTGGAACATTAAAAGGTGCTGAAAGACCGTTCTCATATGTAATTTGAGGATTTCCAGCCCTGTGAGATCCTAAGCCCAGCCCATTGGAAATTATCTGAAAAAAAAAAAAAAAAAAAAAAAAAGTGAAATCACAGGTGTATCATCCAGCTACACCACATGTCTTTAAATATGGAAAAGAAGTAGAAGTATTTTATAATAAAACAAGACCCATTCTGTGAGTGCTCTGCACGGCCTTGGTTACCAAACACGGTCGTGTCTGCTTGTGTGCAAAGCTGATTTCAGAGTGAGACTTCACTCCTTCAGTGTGCTCGTACGGAGGATGATGGCACAGGTTTGCATTTATAGCAACCATCTTTGATTAGAGACAGCTCATTGGCAGTGTTAGGAAGTATCAGCCATCATTAGGACAGCTTCAGGGCTTGTGGATTTACTGGCAAAATGAGAACATTTTCTGCCGTTGTGCAGGAGAAAGGTTACTCAGCAAGTATTTGCTGAGCATCCATGGGCAGGGCTGAGGGTTAGAGCCACAGGTGGTGTAGGAGCTGAAAGCCAGCCATGTTGGCTAGCGCCCAGCACGCGCCAGCGCTGTGGCTGGTGGTGCGTAACTTCCAGAACCGTGCTCACCGTCTTGGTCATCTTTTGATGACCTAGCGTCGCTTGACGAAATCCCAGCCAGTCTTCAGGTCCTGCGCGGTTGGGCTCCTCGGCCACGGAAGGGATGCTTGTTTTAGAGGGCATCGCAGCTCGGGCTGCATCATTTAGTTCCATTCAGAAGGAATCAGGAAGGCTGTTAGCAGTGGGCTTCAGACTGTAATTGCCTATGGTTCTTTGCATGTTAGTGTAATCATGCTACTGGATAAATACAGGCTTATGGAATATCACGAGTGGGAAACATTCCCGATTATGTAAAATAGGTATTATTCATTTGTGCCTTCCGTTTATATTACTTACTGAAGCTTTTGTTTTATTTTGTTGTTCATTTCCTTAGTTAATAATGCCATTATCTAATTAGGAGCATGAACTCATTTTCATTGTTGTGATGGCTGTAACACAAGAGTAATTATAAAGTGGGTGCATTGTTGGGTGTCGTCTGTTGTACAGTAGTAGTCAGTGCTCCTGTGGGACTAACAAACTTGATGGGAGACATTATGTCACACCTTTGCCCTCAGTGCCATCTGCTCTAGGGCTTTGGGGTTTGTAGATGTGTTTATGCTTGCTATGCAGTGAGGTCCAGACCCATGAAGTAATGGATTCCTGCTCCCTGCTAGCACTTCTCATCCAAACGTCATTGTATCTGAGATCACGGAATATTTTATTAGCTTAGACTTAGATAACAGTCATTTTACTAGCCCCAGAGAGTAGTAGCCCGAGAATGGCTGAAGGAGCAGTGTGGTGTGTTAGAAATTAATTGTACAGGCCTTTTGATCTTGCTTTAAGGTGACAGAGCCATCCGAGGACAGCGGTGTCCCTTTAGTACTCTTGAATCTGCAGACATGACTGTGTATGAAGGAGGCAAACTGAGATGCTTTGTAAGAGGGTCAGCACACCATGGCTGAGGTGTGGACTTTTCTCTCAGCCTGGCTTGGGCCCAGAGTCCGGTTCCTTCCTTTACTAGCTGGTGACCTGGTGTACCAACATCTGTGTGCATAGTCACGACCTGGAGTTAGGCTTTCTAACCCACTGGTCTCGGGGGTGAGCCTTTGGGAAGCGCCTGGCATTGTAGCATCTGTAATTACTCGACAGCCATCATCATTGCGGGCTGGCTGCCTTTGTTGTTACTAAACGGAAAGACACTTAAGAATTATTACTAATTAAGAAAGAAATACCCTTCTCATCAAAAAGTACTTGAACTTAAAGAGATTAAAGATAAAATAACTTTCTATAAGATAATGTCTTACCAGACTAATTAAAATGTCTCGGTTATTTCAGAATGCCTAATTAAATTAAATGTTAACGGAATTAATCTGAGAAGTAGAGCTTTGTTCCCTTATAAATGTGACATCACTCAGTGTCTAAAAATAGAATGGTAAAATTAATGGTGGTAAACGGCTGTGTTATATTGTACTCTTAGTCTGCTAAACCTGGGCTGAGAGGTGGCTCAGTTGGTAGAGGGCTTGCCCTGCAGCACGAGGATCTGAATTCAGTCTCCGGCACCTAAATAAAAGCCCAGCCACAGTGCCGGGTCCCTGCAGTCCCAGCACTGGGAGGCTGAGGCAGGAGGATCCTTGAGGCTCTCTAGTAGCCAGGTGGTCTAACCACATCAGTGAGCTCCAGGCTCAGTGAGACCCTGTCAAATAGGCAAATAAAGTAGAGGATGGTTAAGAAGACAGTCAGCATTAACCTCTAGTCTCCACACACGTGTGCACACTCCCTCAGGCATGCTCCCATAACTTCTACACCAGCTAGACAAGTGGGTTTTAAATGCTCTACTTTGTGTTTGGATCTCACACCTCATATCATGATACTAATAGTAAGATCATATCATGATACTAATAGTAAGATCGGATAATGATAATAATAGTAAGATCACATCATGATACTAATAGTAAGATCGGATAATGATACTAATAATAAGATCATATCATGATACTAATAGTAAGATCATATCATGATACTAATAGTAAGATCATATCATGATACTAATAGTAAGATCATATCATGGTAATAATGTAACGAGTACGGTTTTTCCGCCTGCCGCCTGGTCTTGTCCCGCCACTGAGCCAGCCCCAAATAATGCACACCGAGACTCTGTATTTGATATAATCTGTTGGCCCATTACTAGTTTCTTATCGGCTAGCTCTGTCTTAATTATTAACCCATTTCTATGTATTTCCACGTGGTCTTACCGAGAGCGGAGGAATGGCGGTTCTGTTCTCTCCAGGCTCTCCATGCTGACTCCTCCTTACTACTTCCTATTTCCTCCTTGTCTCCTAGTCCCTCCTATCTTCCTTTCCTATTGGCCAACAGTGCTTTATTATTACCCAGTATGAGAAACATACACAGAATGACATCTCCCATCATAATAATAATAATAATATCATATCATGATAATATCATATCATGATAATAATAATAAGATCATATCATGATACTAATAGTAAGATCATATCATACTAATAGTAAGATCATATAATGATACTAATAAGATCATATCATGGTAATAATAATAAAATCATATCATGATACTAATAATAGGATCATATGATAATATATCATAATAATTTCATATAATAATAATAATATCAAATCATGATAATAATAATAAGATCATATCATGATACTAGTAATAAGTCCTTGAACTTCTTTTTATTGCCATTTTGTTTTAGCACAGGGTGTCCACTTTGTAACCCAGGCTTACCCAGGCTTGCTGTGTAGTCTAGCAGGTTCCAGCTTGAGCTCTTCCTGCCTCTGCCCCCGGGCTCTGGGGCTGCAAGCTTGTGCCACCTCACTGCTCTGAAAAGATCACTTCTCATAGAAACTGCCAGAGTTTCCTTAGAGAATATCAACCTGGGTTTTTTGTGTCACATAAATTTATTTTTTTCAAAAAAATCAGTGTTTAAAAACAGTTTCTAGAAATTCAGGTTGACATATTGCTATTAAGAATGTGTGGATTTGGTTTAAGGAAATGGAAATGCTAATTGCTTTAATTTATCATTACACTTTGTAAACATGTATTGAATTATCACTCTTTATTGCATCTCATTTAAGAATGGCAGCTTTGAGTTCTCGTGAAATATTTGCAGGGGAGAAAGAAGATGGGAGAAGATGGATCTGTAGGTCACACCTCTCACTGAGCGTCATTTTCCTAAACAGCTGACTTACAAAAATTGGAATCATCCATTACATTTCAGTCTCTGGATTAAGTGTCATATTAACCAGGTATGTACATGATATCATAATATATACAACCTGTTTTTATAAAGGTTCAGAGGTCCAAAGCAATGACGTCCTGTGGATAGCCATGGCTGGGACTCATCAGATATGGGCACTCCTCCTGGATTCTGCCACACTGCCAAAGAAAAGGTAAGTGGCTACTCCTCCGTGGGGCCCTTCCCAGGTCACCCTCCTCACAACACCTGCTGTGCCTGTCAGGATGTGCTGGCCACACACCATAGCAAACTTGGAGCAGGGTTCCTGTTCGCTCACGTAGATTCACTGGGGAGCTGGTTGCAGGCTGAAGAAACAGCTGCTGTTAGAAAGAGGGAGAGGGAGGGAGAGAGGCCGTGGTGAGTCACTCACTGGCTCTCGAAGCTGCTGCTCAGAGATGACACACATCGCTTGGACTTATATTTCATCAGCATGTTAAGCCTTGGGGCTGCATCTAATTTCTGAGCGCCTAGGGGTAGGGCATTCCTGTGGGTGCTAGAGAGGATAGAAATGATCGATGGGGCTTTAATCCTCTGCAGTGTAAACATGTGCAGGTGTCTGTAGTCACTCCTTCAGGTGGCTGAGTGCTGCACGCAGAGTGGCTAAACCCAGCTGCTAGTTACTGTGTGAGCATAGCAGAGCCCCTTTAACCCTGCGTTTGCCGTCACCCGACCGGATTGCCTGTGAAGAGGTAGGCTTAGCAGTGGCGTGCAGTAGGCACAGGTGTTTGCTGCTTGTTGGCCTGTGACGATAGCAGAGCAGCCACTGCAGTGTGTCCCTCAGCCTCAGCGGAGCTGGCCACACTCTCCTCTGAGGCTTCCCTGTGTTCACCTCTCCTCTCGGGTCATGCCTGTTTTAACTATTTCTTCTTACTAGACAACCTCTTAAAGAAAGAAGCCGTGTCCCGTTATTACCGTGTCTTCTGTGCCTAGTACTGTAAAGCTTATAGAATGAGCAAGTGGGTTAAAGTCTGCCCCGGTGAGGTTTCTGTTGTTGAGATGAACGCCATGAGGGAGGGAAGGGTTTATTTCAGCTTACAGGGTACAGTCTGTTGTGGCTTGCCCGCTTCGCTTTCTCAGGCTCCCACGGTGGGCTGGGCCCCTTCATATCAGTCGTCAGGCACAGGTGGCCCCCAGGTCAGTCTGACGGAAGAATTTGCGCAATTGAAGGTCCTTCTTCTCGGATGACTCCAGCTTGTGTCAAGCTGACAGGAAACTGGCCAGGGCATGCACCATACGTTGTTATGCGACCACAGAAAGTAGCCCATAGCCATCACAGTTATGTCCTCTGCTTGTTTGCGACAGGGCTTCTCTATGTAGCCTTGGCTGTCCTAGAACTTGCTCTGAGGCCCAGGCTGGCCTCAAACTCAGAAATGTGTCTGTCCCTGCCGTGAGAGTGCAGGAATTAAATGTACCACCACTGCTGGGCTCATCAATTATCGTTATCAGTAGAAAGGGACAGCTGTCTAGCAAATCGATATCTCAGATGTCCAGGGGTGGGTGTGGAACATAGTTGTGTGATCTAAAACAGTGGTTCTCAACCTTGGGTTGCAACCCCTTTGGGTCCAATGACCCTTTCACAGGGGTCGCCTAAGACCATCGGAAAACACAGATATGTACGTTGTGTTTCGTAGCAGTAGCAAATTTAGAGTTACGAAGTAACAATGAAAATAATTTTATGAGGAACTGTATTAAAGGGTAGAAGCATTAGTAAAGTTGAGAGCCACTGATCTGAAACTTGTTAAATATACTTCCACTAGGCTCTGTGTTAGACATTAGTGATGAAAGCATATGCTCTCTGTTAAAGAGAAAATGAAGACATGCCCATCCTCAGAAGAATTAGCTCAGCAAACAATGAGAACCATGTCATTAGAGCCTCGGAAGTAGGCGTTCGTGCTGAGCTTTTTGCACACAGGCTCTGAAGGTTGTGGAGGACTTGTGCATGGAGGCCCTCCAAGCCGCTGCTGGCACCTGTGATATCGGGGCACTGGGGTCCTTCCTGCTAGATTTGAACATCCCACGAGCTGATGTAGAAAGGCCTAAGCTGGGAAGGGGCGTGGTCAGATCTGTCCTCTGGAAGGAACCTTCTAGCATCCAGAGTGGAACAAGATCTGAGCAGGAGGCTGTAGCTGCCATCGAGGCCACAGACGGTAGTGACATGAACAGTAAGGTTACCAGTGGTGCATGAGGTGTGATTAGACCCACAGCCACAAGTAACAGCAGCCAGAACGTGCTGCCGGGCTGCCTACGTCCCCTGCTAAGAAGGGTTGCCACTCTTTATAATGGGAAAACGGCTGCTCGGGTTACATTGATCTTCATTTTGTGGCTGCATTACTACAAAGCTACTACCTACTGCAAAGACGGTGTGATAGAGATTTTCAGGGGTAGTGGCCCTGATGCCTTAGTGTCACTGAACCCGCTCTCAGTGTCACGGGCTCCTCTCCAGCACGCAGAATGTTTACACTTCTTGTCTTGCAGTGTAGGTTGTGTACTTTCTCTGGCCTGCTGGCTTGGTGAGTTCTGTAAATAAATGGCATGTTTCATTGATAACGTGCCTTGCCCCCCCTTACCCCCCCACCTCTCCACCCCCCCCCCCCCCGCTTCTGCTTTAGCACTGGGAAGGTAGAGTCCAGGGCTGCTCACTCTGGGCTTATGTGATGTGCCATGTTTGGACATAGAGCACACCTAGTCTCTGACTTTGCACTTAAAGTCAGCTTCCTCTTTCTCACAGTACTGTGTCTTTAAAATCCTTTTGGCATAGATTGAGAAGTCAGGAATCTTTGCAGTGGTCCTTGTCAGCATTTTGAGAGACGGTCTCTGCAGCGGTGACAGCTGTGTGCCCCTGCATCTGTGATTCAGCACACTAAGTGAGGTTTCCCAGTGTGTACAGTTGAGTGTTTCACATGTCACTGTTCTGAAAACGGTCACCTTCCACCTGGCTTTCTAAAAACAGCTATTCCCTGCTTTATAGAAGACACAGACATTTTTAACCTATCAAAATTGGACAGTCTTTATTAATAAATTCCCTTTTAGACCTTGCATGATATGAAACTAAGAAGTTAAAATGAGAATAGAATCATCTCACTATTATTTCATAACAACCTGATCTCATGGCCTGGCATTTGGGAGTGACTTCAGTAGTTGGTACAGTGCTGAGAAATGAGACAGCTCACCAAGAACGCCCAGGCAGGTGCAGTAGAAGGCGGCAGGCATCCCTGGCTCTGTGGGTCTGCCACCATCATCTGCATCCCTGTAGTGATGCGAGGGTCCCACGTATGCTTGTCTTCCTGTCTTCCAGTGAGCTGAAAAGAGGGACCTGCCTGCGGTTTGCTGGGAGTGGGCATGAAGAGAACCGGAACAACGCATACCCTCACAAGGCGGGCTTCGCCCAGCCCTCAGGTCTCTCTCTGGCCTCAGAAGACCCCTGGAGCTGCCTCTTTGTGGCAGATAGCGAGAGCAGTACAGTGAGAAGCGTCTCGCTCAAAGACGGAGCAGTGAAGGCCCTTGTAGGAGGAGAGCGGGACCCCACGGTAAAGAAGTCACTGTGTGTGCTTTCCTGCGTTAGGACTCGTTCGTGACAGTTAGGAGGCTCGTTTGTGACAGTTAGGAGGCTTGTTCTTGTCCTGTCCGAGATAGACTGCAGTCAAACCAAAGAAAGTGTGACTGTAAAACACAAGTGCATCCTCTGCAGAGCAGGCACTGCCCCTGCCTGGTAACAGATCGATGCGGAGGCTTCCAGGGACAGAGCGATAAAGTAACGGCTGATGGAAGAGATACAAGAGCGGTTGCATGGGGGGCGTAGGGGTGGATTGGGAAGCGCACTGGACCTGGCCTGCCCCTGAGCGGGTGTTGGACTGCTGTGAGGGAAAGAGCGAGGCGGCAAATGTAGGTGGTCCAGACCCCTGCTCGGCTCTCCAGTCTGCACCATGTGCCCAGATCCGCCATGAAAACCAGAGCTCCCCCTTAGGCTTTAGTAACATAATGACCTTAGTTATCACTTTATCTCCTAACAAAACACTAAAATAACTGCTGTTTCTTTCTCTTTAAAAAATAAAATAAAAGAATTTATTTGCTTTTGGTGATGTTGATGGAGTAGGCATCGGTGCGAAGCTTCAGCATCCACTTGGGGTTGCATGGGACCAGAAGAGAAGCCTGCTGTATGTGGCAGACTCCTACAATCACAAGGTGAGCCATGTTAAAGGTACAGTACCTTGCTTTTGACCCATGTGCCTCCAACCAGAGAGCAGCTGTAGCTCTCAGTGCTGCACAGCCTGCCCTGGGCCTTTCCTCCCTTTCGATACCTGGACTGAGGAAAATGCTGAGCTGATTCCTGTGACTGTGACGGACATGCATGAATTGTGACCCATCAGAGCTGCTCGGTAACGAAGTCAGGACCAGGGAAAGTGTGAGCCAGCTGGTGTGGTTTCAATTTGTTGTCATAGTAAAGCCACCAAAGCAGTTAGGAGGGGGTTTATGGGCTCACACTTGCAGGGGAAGTCCATCGTGGAGGGAACGGAAGGCAGGCCTCCCCACAGACTCAGACTCAGCCAGCTTCCTTAGTTCACCCAGGGTCACCTGACCAAGGGTTGGTGCCGCCCACAGCGGGCTGGGCCTCCCCACATTCTTACAAGTCAGTCTCCTCGCAGACATGTCCGCTGCCATGTCTGAGTAGTTGCTCACTGAGGCTCCCTTTTCTGTTGACTCTGGATTGTGTCAGGTCGGCAGGGAAAGCTAACTGGGGCCACGAGCAAACGCTCCCGTCTTCCGTCTGGGCTTTCTGGTCCTTACTGTGAAGTCCTTTGCCACGTGATGAGCTGCGTAGGCTTTTATGTGCCTGAGACCTAACTGTCAGCCTTACGTCTAACGAAGGCAGTGACCCTCAGGCGGCATTCTCAGAAAGTGCCCACTGGGGGGGGGGCGAGAACTCCAGAGGAAAAGAACCCCGGAATTAACAAACGTGGTCTAACTAAGATTTTCTAACGGTTTTCCTCAGGATGAAGTATTTGCCCTTCCGTGATAGACTTTGAGTGCTGGGGTTCTAGGAAACGATGGAAATACCTACTGTTCTGATATTTATTTACTGAGGGAGCTAATGGGAGTTAGGGATTCCTCTGTTTCTCTGCACTGCTGTAAACAGGGCTGGCCGCAGGGAAAATGTTTGTTCGTTTTCTTTAGATTAAAGTTGTAGATCCGAAGACAAAAGTCTGCACAACGCTAGCAGGGACCGGAGTTGCGAATAATGCCGTTTCCAGTTTTGCGGAGTCGGCCTTTAATGAGCCTGGAGGGTTGTGTGTCGGTGAGAGAGGCCGGCTCTTATATGTAGCAGACACGAATAATCACCAAATCAAAGTGATGGACTTGGAAGCAAGGACAGTGTCAGTGGTAAGTCATCTTAGACGCGGCCTTTCAGGGCGGGGCTGAGCTTTAAAGCACACGTGCGCCGTCTCTGGCGTGCACTGGGCACATGGGGAGCCAGAGTCGGAAGTAGATGCTCCCTTGGGGTTCTGGGACAACCAGACCAGGGACTTGCTGTGCAGGTCTCCTGCTGGTCTTGAGATACAGTTTCCATCTGCTCTGAGCATTTGAGGAAAATGCTGGAATTTGCAGTTCTGGGTCTGTTTTTAAATGTGTAGATCATGACACACGGGTGGTTTTATCCAGTGATCCGTAGGTTACTGCTGTCTCTCTGTCTCCTCTGGTGAATCCATTACCAGGTCATCTTCTAGGGGAACTTCTAGAAGTCACAGAGGCCCGTGAGATAGACTGGGGAAAATTTTACCAAGTTCAAGTCCGTTTTCAGAGAGAAATGTGTGTTGCCCACTGCTTTTTAATGTCCTATTTACCTGGGGCAGGGATGTTTTATTTTTAAGAGGTGTTTTATTTTAAAATAAAAACCACAGAGTAGTATCATGTAGCTTTCTCTTGGCAATGGAGGTTATGAGTGTGTTGCTTTAATTTCCTGCCATTTGTAAACCGTGGGATGTCCTCACAAGTGATCTGGCTGGTGAGGCGGGCTGTTTTTCTGCACTCTGGGAATCATTGATGGCTGTCACTGGTGGAAAACTTCATTTTTCTGCCCCTCTCTAAGGCTAGGCTCTCAAACTTTGGTCTTAAAGGTGTGTCTGCTTTAATGACCCTTCCTCCGGTCTTCTAGCTCCCGATCTTCAAGCCTGGCAGTGTCGTGGTAGACGGCCCCTTCCCTACAGAGAAACAGAAGGTGATGCCCAAAATGCCCAAGTCTGCCCCAAACATTCAACTCGCCCCTGTGGCTGTGTGTCCTGGCCAGACTCTGCAACTCCAGCTCAAGCTGGGCCTTCCACCAGGATCAAAGCTGACGGAAGGTGTGCCCAGCTGCTGGTTCCTGACTGCTGAAGGTAGGGTGTAGTTCTGCAGACACTAAAGTCCTGGGGCAGAGCTGATAGTTTTGTTATGTATTTCACTGTGTGTTTGGGCAAGATTTGAGGGAAATTATGTTTAAAAAAAAAAAAAAGAAGTGAATCTAGCTATAACCCAGTTTGATATTTTTTCTCTTTGCCCTCTCTTAGTCCCTTTCATTAAGATGGTGTGGCCACAAGAGCCCAGGCATCTCTAACAACATGGTCTCTGGGGATCAGACTTGCCTGCATGTCTGCCTTATTCTACCTTCTTGTTGTCCCCAAAAGACCCACCGAAAGCCTCATCTGCAGCCCCAGCACTCAGGAGACTGAGATAGGAGGACTACAAGTTTGAGGCTAGCCTGAGCTACATAATGATTCCCAGGCCATGTGGGCTACAGAGTGAGGCCCTGTCAAAGAAATCAAAAATCAATCAGTAAGAAGTCGGAAGTCTGATGAGCAGAAATGAAGTAGAGCTTCCCTGTCTACTCCTTCCGGGCTCTTCCTTGTTGGCCTTTGTGTGGATGAACCCTTCTGCCCTGAGGACTCAGTGTTCTGCCTGCTGCTGTCAGAGCTCTTGGACAGAGCAGGTCTAAAGCGAGGTCCTGGGGTCCAGAATCCCTCAGTGCGGAACTTCATGTCTCCCACGCCCTCTCACATCCTCACTCAGTCTGCATTTCCTGTTCCTTCTCTCTCACTTTTTGTTTGGTGCATTACCACAACCCTGGTCTTGTGCCTACTCATCTTCATGCGTTCTCAGGCAGAAGCTGCTGGTTGCGGTCCGGTCTGGCCCTGCGGACACCCCCTGAGCCATGCAGTCCTATGCCTCAGCCATTCTCTGGGCTCTAGGAGACCCTGGGAAGGGTCTATTCTGCCTGTGTAGTCTCTGCATAGCAAAGCAGCCCAGTAACTGGGGATCTCAGATCACATGTTTACTTTCTCTCTGTGCAGTTAGAGACCAGTAATTTTTTTTTTTTTTTGACAGTTAGCCTGATTTTGTTTTGTTTTTTTTGTTTTGTTTTGTTTTGTTTTTTTTGTTTTTTTTTTTTTTATTTTTATTTTTATTGTGCTTGTTATTGTTCTGTTTTGTTTTGACATTTCAAGAGGGATTGCTCTGTGTAGCCCTGGCCATACTGGAACTCATTCTGTAGACCAGGCTGGCCTTACACTCAAGAGATCCACCTGCCTCTGCCTTCCAGGTGCTAGGACTAAAGGCATCCACCACCAGGGTGTGGTGACAATTAACCTTTTTAATGCTGTATTCTTAAACATTCAAATAATTGAATTCTGAGTCATTGTCCTATGAAGTGAAGACATTAAGTGAAGGATCATATATTTACCTGCTTTATTATTTGTCTAAAATATGGGCCTTATTTTTACTATATGGGGCAAATAAGCTTTTCAGCAAGCATCCTACTAATTCAAAGATTCTGAGCGTATGATTAAGCCCATGTCTGCACGCAGGGGTAGAAGAGACTTTGTTTTTGGAGCTGGTTCTTTAGAAATAGTTAAAGTAGCTACAATATATGAATGTTTTAAAGAGCTGCAGGCATCTATCTCTTCATAAATCGTGTGTGCGTGTGTGTGTGTGTGTGTGTGTGTGTGTGTGTGAGTGAGTGAGAGAGAGAGAGATGGGATGCAAAGGAATAGTTGGTGTCTTACTTCTAGATTTGAATATTAAAATAGTTTATTGTGTGTACATTTTTATTCTCCGAAGCTCACTCTGGAGCCCTGGAGATATTTCCCTTGGGTGAATGATGGGCTATCTTGCCGTCTCTCTGTTGTTTCTGCAACAATAGCCACGCTTTGAACTGGTTTGAGAAGAATCTCCAGAGCCATAGTTGCAATTCTCAGCATCGTTTCAGTAGAAAGCGGTTTGCAGGGTGCTGTACAGATGGCACAGAAGGGAAGAGCTGCACTAATGAGATACAGGGATGAGCAGCCTGGGGACTTGTCATGTGGCCATTATGTCTCACTCCTGCATGTCATTTCTACAGAGCAAGATGCCTGGCTCACAGGCTTGTAGTAAATACTTGTTGTTCGAAAGAGTCTTTTCTGAGAACTTTCTAGTTTCCTACTTGTGTCTTTTCAACTGTATGTGTGTGTTTTACATGTGTGAATGTGCCCACATAGTATGATCACACATACATGTGTAGGTCTACACGCACATGTTTGTGTGGGTAAGTAGTTAATGCCGCATATCTTCTTTGACCTCTCTGTACCTAAAATGTTGAGGAAGGGTTTGTCACTAAGCCCGAGCTCACTGTTCTGAGAAGTCTTGACTGGCCAGCTTGTTCCGGGGATGCCCCGCCCCCACCCCTTGTCCTCTGGGATTACAGGTGAGTGTCCCTGCACCCAGCATTTAGGTTAGTTCTAGGGCCTGAGCTTTGGTTGTCACACTTCGTGGCAAGTGCTTATATTCTCTATAGTCTTTGTAATGTTCTCTCCTGTTTTCTAGGCAGTGAGTGGCTTCTTGAGGAACAGATCCCGTCTGGAGACATAGAGAATATTTCCAATCAACCCACACTCTCACTGCGGATTCCTACCAGTTGCCTGTCACTTGAAGCTGAGATATCCGTCCGCGTGTTTCTTTACTACTGTAGTGCAGACAGCACTGCTTGCATGATGAAGGGAATCTTGTTCAGGCAACCTTTGCACATCACTGACGCCCAGCCAGGCTGCGGAGCTCCTGTAGAGCTCACACACGTATTCTAGAGAGCCAGCCGGAAGGAAGCCCCTCAGCACCCCAATGCAGCCTCCATCTGTCGTTTAGGGAAAAAGCATTATACATACCCATTGCTCAGTTGTCGCAACTGATACCAAAATAAAGCTGTGTTCCTTATTAACATTTTAATTCTAAACACATTTCTTCATTTCAGCTATGTACTAGCCCATTGACCATCATTGAAACCACGGTAGTGTAAGCTTTGCTGCTCTTTGGTACAAGGCTGCAGTCCTTGGCTGTGTTAGATGATAATGTAATTTTCAGTCAATACTGATGATACAAGGTGTTTTAAACGACCTCTTCTGCCTTTATCTGTGGCTATCAGCCACTTCATGTGTGAACTTCATAGTTCACCTGGACATGCCTAGGGTGTGCACCTTTATGTGAGACACGAGACACCTCCAGGCAGTGTCTACGGTCTGTTTGAAGCCAGAGCAAAAGCTGTGTTCACCAGAAGCGGAGAGAGCACATGACTGTCTACTTAGTATCTCTGCTGTGTTTTTTCAAATAGGACGTATTTTTAAAAGAGAGTTTTCATCTATTTTTATTATAAATTATTTGTTTTAACATGCCATTATTAATGCCTTATAACTTTATACAGAAAAACAATTTCTAAGGGCATGTAGACCTATTCTTGACTATTTTTTAAATGAACATATTCCTAGCAGACAGTACCTAGCAGTCAGAGACATGCAGACTTTTAAGGTGGGGTTCAGGCTGTGCTGCTGTGTGTGATAGTTTATTGTAATGGTGGAATTTGATACAAGTATTATGTTGTTTTCAAAATTTACATTTCAGTTTTAAGAGTTAAATACAGATTTATTGAGTTTGGGTTTTTGTTATTACTGTTTTGGTTCCCATATTTAGAATTTAAATTGTGATCTTTAATTCTGATATTTTGAAAATCACATGTAAACCTTCAAATTGCTATTATCAATGTAAAGTATTTTAATGTAGTTGGCATGTATAGTTGTCCTAATACTCTCATTTAAAGTATTAGGACTGAAACACAGTGATTTGCTGACTGTTCTGGTGTTTGTTTTGTTTTGTTTTAGCCTTGTAAGCATCACTGGAAGGGTTACTGGAAGGTGTGATTCCCATTGTTGCTGTGATTATCATAGATTATCATCATAACTGTGTGAAGTCCACTTGCCTGTTTAGAACTGACTCGGCGTATATTTTATCTATTTAGATTACAAGATTTCAGAAAATTCAGTTGAGCCGCACTATAAATTCACTAACTATCTGTAGGCAGTGTGGCGTAGCATGCCTTCCTTCCACAAAAGAACTAGATATGAAGTGTAATTATTTAAGTATCATTCTACACATGTATTGATTGATTTTTGAAGTAGTTTTGACAGATAATATTTGTTTTATTATTGAGTTAGCCAAAAACTCTCTGAAGTAATAGCATAGATCAGGACTTTAATTAGTAACCTACAAAAGCTACTTTTCAAGAGAAATGTGAATGGGAAGGGAAAGGAGATCTTGATTAGAGTTACACACGATTACCTCAGAAGCCCTTGCTGCCAGAACTGGCCGCCGTAGAGGTTCCGTAGCCACCGTCTGAAGCTGATGTACCGTGCTGAGTGCCCCGAGTGTATTTCAGCCCTCTTTGAATCACTCTTTAGAACAGTGTGTATACAGTTTAACTAATGTAGAAATAATGGTAATTTATTTTCACTATAAAAACACAGGTGTGTATTCTGTACTTCCGTGTACCTTAAAAATCCCCACATCCTCTTTGCAATGCATTGGTTTCCCTTTGTCTGGACAGAATCTTAGTTTCGTTTCGTCTTCAGAGACTGACTGAGTGGTCCCTGACTTCTCCTTCTCACCTGCCTGCCCGCACAGCTGCCACGCTGAGATCTCACTGGTGATGGTTGGTGTGGGCTTAGAGAACCCTCACTGACCAGTGTGCGAGTAGGGTCCCAGACTCGTAGGTGACATAAATGTCACATGAGGAAACGCAGGATCTACATCGGCCTTCAGTTTTCTCTGTGAGCTTTTTAATTGTTTAATGGCCTGTCTACTTTGTGGCTCATATCACTGAGATAAGGGGGTTTGACCTATTATTTTGCAAAGTTGAAAATTTGGAGAACATAATGAAAATGTGTAACTATACTTTCCCACATATTCAGAACTGACTGTTAGGTTTTGTCTACCAACAGAGAGATCTCGGCTTAGCTGTTGCTTTTGGCAGGATGTTTAAGTCCGGTCACCAAAGGCTAGAGTTGTAACTCAGTAGAAGGGTGTTTGTTTGGTGTGTTTAGAGACCCTGGGTTTAGTGCTTAGAGGGGAAAAATCATCAAAAGCAAAGTTTTGTAGTGCACAGTCACATAAGAACATTTGCAGGGGGGCTGTATTAGCCACACTTCTAAATGAGAAAATGCTAGGTGTTTCACTTAATTCTACTTCTGTGTGTCTTTCAGTGGTGAGCACTTCAGGAAGAAATCTAGTATTTTTGAAGAGAGGTCTGAATTGTAAATCCGAATGTAATAGCTTTTCTAAAGCCTCTTCTGTTTCCAAAGATGGGGGCATTGTTTAGAGCTCTTTCCTTTTCAGTCTCCTTTCAAGTGAGCTATGAGGACGGGAGTCGTTACGGCGTTCTTGTCTGGCAGCACAGTGTGTGGACCTTGCAGCCGGGTCTGGCCCTGAAAAGCAGGGTTGCCTGGGCTCGCTGCCAGGGCTCAGTGAGATGCTCACACGGCATTTAGCACGGAGTAATTTATGAACTGCTACTTATCAGTTTAGTTACTCATAATGACAATGATTTATGGCCACAGACACGTGCCAGTTCCTACAGCAAAATATTTCACAGTTCCAGTTCCTACAGCAAAATATTTCTTCACCGTTTGACATGTTAGCAGACCCAATAGAATCTGGGCTCAGGAAGAAAAAGGACCCTTTATGTTAGGATGAATTACTGTTTCACAGACACTCGTTTATAGAGAAGCACCTCCATACTGTAGTGAAGTATTGAAAAAGACCTTCTGGAACTTTAACCAATACATTTGTCCCATAGAGAACCCAGACATAGCCGGGCACCTCACCACACTCTTACGGCTTGTACAAGCAGTCTTCATACTGTAAGCCGAGCATGCTGGGTGTTGTCACCCTGCGATGCTGATATCTAGTCTTCAAAGTGCTTTCACGTGTATTTCCTGGGATGGGCTTCAGAACGACGTACAGACCCGGTAGGTGTGTGTCTGCAGGTGAGGGAGCTCCTGGGATCGAGTTCAGTGCCCAGAGCAGGACCTAGAAGGCGGGTGTGCTGGGCGTCCTTGAATGCCTTGTGTGACTAGTGAGCCCAGAGCCTGATTGAGGCTCTCTCCCAAGGGGTAGAGTGGGAACCCTACTGAAAGTTTTCTGTGTCCACGTCCTCGGGCCTTCAAGACAAGGACGGACAGACGGACGGACAGTTAGAGTCACCGACTTCTGCACCTGCCGGTGCGGTCTTGCATGCTCTGCAGTGTGCCCTCACTGCAGCCTTACAGTGGAGAAGGTGGCAAAGACTGGACAGTTGTCTGCCGCGTCGCCTCTTAGACACGCATACTTCACATATTTCCTGCCGCTGTGTAGTAACTTATCAATCCAGAGAATTCCAGGAGCCCTGGGAGTGATTGTTTTTGAAATTCAAATAATGCCATTTAAATTACACGACTTTTCATAGACTCTTACCACCTGGGCCTTGGAATGGTATGTTTAATTGTTATTTCCCAGAGGGTTTTCTGTGCCTCTAATTCTGACTGTTACCACAAGCTTTTCTCTGCAGGTATGTGTACAGGAACACCAGTTAGTTCCAGCAGGGCTGTCATGAAGAACGGGCCTGGTGCAGACCCTGAGGGGTTCACTCATTTAAGACAATGTGTTTTGTGAACCAAAGTGAGGTGTAGAGGTATGAAGCCCTCTGCCTTCCTGCACCCTTAGTGGCCCTGGCGTAGCCACCCCTAGTGATTCAGAAGGCATTCCTGAGGTCAGCTGGGCCTTGTAAGGCAAACTGCTGCATGCCCGTGATGCTTTCTGATGGCCACCCCAGTGCAAGTTAAGCAGCACAGCCGTGACGGAGTATTGTGCAGCGAGGGACACGCTGCTGTGTTGTAAATGCTGTTCCTACTGTCCATGTGACACCTCTCTGATCTTGACCATGATAGTGGCCGCATGCTAATCACCACAATGCTAATCACCAAGATTGCTTTTTCCACCACCGCGCCACATAGCCCTCCTGGAACACTGGCCTCTGTGTCGCTGTTTTACCCTAGCTTTAATGAAGTTTGCTCTGCTCCCGTTTCTTTGAAATAGGGTAATAGAAAGAATGGCTGTAAAAGCCACTGGCTGTGCTGATTGAAGCACCCGGCACTGTATGGCTAATGAACCTTGGCTCCTGCATGCATGCGCTGGCTTGTGGTGTAGACGGGTACCCCAGCTCTCAGATGACCGTAAGAGCACGTGGGCTGGGAGAGGAATAGGGCACACGCTCTCCTGCGGTTACCGTAGTGTGCTGCTTGGTTTAATCATTGCCAGAGGTTAGAGCTGAACAGCTAAAACTCCTTCCCACCCTGTGTGGATCAATCTTGTAATTTCATTTCTGAGGCTAGAGGTGATCTGCTGTGATGACTTCATGCCTAAACAATACAAGTTCTAGACACGGTTTAGTCCTAAAACAATTAACTGCTGTGCATTGTTAAGTGTTTAATGTAGATGGATTAATATATTTTTATGCAACTGGTATTTTACATTTAGACAAAACTCGAGTGGGTTTTAAAGTATGTTGTTAGGTGGGATGAAAGCTTGGTGGCTTTCATTAACTCAAAAGATTCTTAGGGTCCTGGGAAGCGAGGGTGTGTTTCTACTGTAATGTCTGAGTCCTGGGAAGCGAGGGTGTGTTTCTACTGTAAAGTCTGATTCCTGGGGTCCTGGGAAGCGAGGGTGTGTTTCTACTGTAAAGTCTGATTCCTGGGGTCCTGGGAAGTGAGGGTGTGTTTCTACTGTAAAGTCTGATTCCTGGGGTCCTGGGAAGTGAGGGTGTTCTACTGTACATGCAAACCTAAAGCTCTTTTCCAAAGCTTTGTACTTCTTTTTCATGAAATAGAGTAAATATTTTCTCTCTAAAATTGTTCTCCTGTCCTTAATATGCTGTGTTCTAAGAATGTCACTAGTTTTACTACTTAAGAGACCTGTAAGCTAGGCTGAGGAATATGTTAGTGGGTAAAGCTTGGAGTCTGAGCTGTGGACGACAGGAAATCAGCATCCTCTCCTGGAGTTCTTATTCTCATTAATCAGAAAATTTATGAATGGACTCAGCATAAGGACAATTTTATTAGAGTTTGAAAGTGAAACCGCAGGGCGGCAAACTGAATCTCAGCAGCTTCCTGGAGGAGAAGGGTGGCGGGAAAGGCTGCTGAAGCTGGGCTGGAACGGGAAAGGCTGCTGAAGCTGGGGTGGAGGGCAGACACGAGGCACACAAGAAGCCACGTGGAGGGAAGGGAAGCTTCCGAGGAAGGAAATGGTGGGGAGTGTTACGGAGGCACGCACAGAAAGGACAAGAGCAGGAAGCATTAGCCGTTCCCGGATAACTCAGAGAAGCAGGCAGACTTCTGACCTTTGCATGGCTGTGGCTCGAGAGCTGCTGCACTAGGGGACAGAGATTTTCTGGGCCGGAAAAAGTGCAGCCTCTCATTAAAGAGCTAATCATCCCACCCATCTCTTAACATGGCTCAAGGTGAGCCGCATCCCGGGGGTGGCCCCTTAATCGGTGGTTGAAGGAGCCCAACTGGAATGTTAGGCCTGTCCAGGTTGAGTCCATTCTGTCAACCAGGAACTTCTTTTCTCCATGGTGACCTGCCTGTAACCCCAGAGGCCAAGACAGGATCCATTGGACAAGCAGCTAGAGTAGCTGAGTCGGTGCCCTGGTTCAGGGGACCCTGCCTCCTAAGTGAAGTGGAGAGCAATTGTGGAAGACACCTGGTGAGTCAGTGTGCCATTGCTGGGAAGAGACACCATGAGGACAGCAACTCTACGAAGGAGAG